GTGTCAAAAACAAATATATTTTTTTTACAGACATTCCGTATTCTTAAACTGTAATTATTTAAATTTTGAATATTAGCATTACGTTAGTATGGAAATATGAAAATTTAATGGTTATTTAATCTAAGTTAATTTAATTTCACTTTATATATATATATATATAATCTAAGTTAATTTAATTTCACTTTAATTTGTATATTCACAATTCATAAACTCTATATTAATCTAAATTTACTTTAGATATATATTTTCTTTAATCTAAGTTAATTTAATTTATTCACCATGATTCTTTAAGAGGTCGGGGTGAGGTCAAATATCATAGTGAATGTCATATTGAAGAACAAAATAATAAAACTTTTACAAAATATAGATATATAATATGACCTTAAAATGAAAATTGTAAAGACTTATATGACAATGACCATGGCTATTATTTATATAGATGATAATACAAAAAATATTGTATCTTATTTTATTATTTGAATATTATAATTTGATTTTAATATTTTTAGAATATTTTTTTTTACCGTATCATACTACCATTATATTTCTAGACTTTTTTTTTTTTTTTAAATTTGAGAAATAATATTTCTAGACTTTACTATATAACAGATGCTCTGACCATTATGCTCGTATCATGTAATCCGAAATACTTATATAATTCTTTCCTTTGCTCATTATGTCGCAATAATATTGCTAGACTTTACTATAATAGATGCTCTGACCATTATCACGACCATCTATTATAGTAACTGATTACATTATGAGCAAAGAAATATCACTCTATGCTAGTATGCTATCGACAAAGGCAATTTCCCAAAATATAATCCTAACACTTTCTTTTTATTAGAGAATAATATTTTTAGACTTTATTATAATAGTTTATGTAGTTATTTAGAATAAGATATTCAGTATAATTTTTTTATATATATATGGAAACAGAAATGTATAATAAAAAATTAAAAAAAGACAGCGAATTATAAAGAGACACTTGTCAGTTCCACATTGAGGCGCTTGTCTTTTAGTATAATATATGATAGATTGATTTTTTGATCTACGTTAATTTAGTTTTACGTTAGTTTTGTATAGTAAAAATTTGGAAAATCTATATTTATTTAATGTTACATTAGATATGTAGTCTAAAATGACATAGAATGAAAAATATTAATCACAGAAACGGAAAGTATATGAATCAATATAATCACAAATACGTAGTATATTATATGATTTGGTGAATATTTTGTGTATAACTTATGGTAGGTAATTAATGTCATTGGCTAAAAAAAAAAAGAAGAAGAAGAAGAAGAAAAAAAAAGGGATAGGATTTTGGAGGGAAAAAAACAGCACCAGGAAATGACACGGGTCATTCCTGGTGTCTGTCTTAGTATTATATTATATTATATATTGATGATTAATGTCATTGGCTAAAAAAAGGAAAAACAGGGGAGGAGATTTTGAAGGGAAAAAACAGCACCAGGAATGACACGTGTCATTCCTGGTGTATGTTGCAGTATTATACTAGTTTACTCCCGTGCGTTGCACGGATTAAAAATATATTATTTGTTTAAAATTGCTGTCAATAATTTTAGTTCAAAAAAGTGTAATTATAATCTCATTAATTAATTTTGAAAGAAGTATTGTATTTATGTAGTCTTAGAACTTAGGAAGAATTCTTCAAAAAAAAAAAAACTTAGGAAGAAAAAATAGAGAAAAAAACAAATGATGATGTCAAAAATGGTTTTGGCGGGAAAAATAAAATAAAAAGTTGACATGTGTCCCTTAAATCCTTAATGATGTCAGCATGTTTTGTTTTAGTAATAATTAATAGATATTGATTAATTATACCATGATTATAACTCCCAAATTGAGGCAATGATTCCATGATTATAAGTCCTAAATTAAGATGATATAATTTTTGGGGATATTTAATATCTATACTCTATATACTAAAATAATCCCCATAATTATTCCTAAATTACACATGTCATCACCTCATAAAAAAATTTCCCGCTAAAAAGTTTGTTACTTTTTTTTTTTTTTTTTTTTGGTTATTGAAAGAATTGAGTTTGTTAAGTATTATCCTTATATTTAGGAAAGGGAATGATGTGCAACAATAGTAGTTTAATTTAAATAAAATTAAAAAGTATAGTAGTGAAGAATAAAAAAATGTTACGCAATACTATATAATACTCCGTACTACTTAGTATATTATCAAAAAGTAATTTTTTTTTGTTATTGACAAGAATAACATGAATAGTGAGTACTTTTTAATTGAGAATAAGGGTAAGTTTTAATATAAGGAATACTATGATATTATTACTCCCCGTACTCATTCCTTTTCACATTACTTGTACTATAAAATATCACAATATAATTTTTATTGTACATTTTTAATTTTTTTTTATTTTAACTTACAATGAATTCGTTTTATACTTTTTTTTAATAAACGAATAATGAAAGTAATATTGTACTGTAATACCGTGCATAGCACGGGTTCAGAACTAGTAGATTCCTAAATTTCAAATCTACTAAATTATGAAAAAATATTGTTTTTTCCTTTTAATTATCTTTTGCACCAAATTTGAGCCATAACGTTTTCACTTACAACGTGTTTTGTGTGTGGCTTGCCACACCGTATAGCCAGCTATCACACGCCACAAGTAACTCCTGACTAGGTAACGCCCCTGATCGACCGAGTAACCCCTAACTAAGTAACTCCTAACCGACCAAGTCACCCCTAACCGACCGAGTAACCCCTGACTGAGTAACCCTGACCGACCGAGTAACCTCTGACTGAGTAACCCTGACCGACCGAATAACCCCTGACTGACTAATTCATGACCGATCGAGTAACCCCTGACTGACCAAGTAACCCCTGTCCAAGTAACCCCAACCAAGTAACCCCTGATTTTAGCATACCCCATTGATTTTAGCACACCTTTTATGTGAGAACACAGTTTTTAATACTCTCTCACATAGGGGTGTGCGAAAATCAATTAATGGTGTACTATAATCAATTTCCTTTTTTTTTTGGCAGAATTGAACACCCATGTTACTTTAAGAGCATGAGTAATGGTGGGTAACAACCATTACAAGTCACCTCATTTATTTATCTCCCTTCCAAATCATCTTCCACCTCACTTTCCACTATCTTAAAGTTACTATTATGAGTCACCTTATTGTTTTTTTTATCTACAATGGTAAGGTTGGTCACCACACTCTCTCCTAATTTTATCAATACCTCGTCATTTATTCTTTCTCTTAATTTTTTGAAACCATTTCTCTTAATTTGTAGTTATTGAACTTACATAATTAATTAATAAAAATAAGACATTGTTAATTTTTTTTGTTATTTTAATTACTGCATTTTATTTACTATAATATTAATAATCACTTAAATATGTAAGCTGTTTCATTTTATTTTTTTGCTAATTTTCGAAATGAAAAATACAAAAATAATATAAAATTCAAATAGCATAATTTATAAAACAAAGAGATACATAAAAATTTAAAATACAATTTTCATTAACAGCGGCTTTGGTCATCTCTTCATTTCATTGCCGAAACATCCCCATATATGCTCAACCAAGTCATTTTTTAATGCAATATGGGTCTCCCTATCACGAACATTATTTCTATTTTCCATATAACCACTTAAATTGAGCCTATCCAATCGTCCACTTCTCACGGTAAATGGTTGGTTGTTGTTACCAGTTGATGATACAACTACATTTTGTGGTTGATCATTGATAAATTTCGATGCATCGAAATGCAAATATCCATCTCGCTCATCTTCAACAATCATATTGTGCATGATAATACAAGCCATTACGATTTTCCATAAAATTTGAGTCGACCATGCTAAACCTGGTTGACATATTATTACAAATCGAGCTTGTAACACTCCAAAGGCACGTTCAACGTCCTTTCGATAACTCTCTTGCTTCTTGGTAAATAATTTGTGCTTAGCAGTTGTAGACGTTTGATTGCTGGGATAAATGTTGCCCATTTCAGATAGATACCGTCTGTAAGATAATAACCCATATTATATATATTTCCGTTGACATTAAAGCTAACCTTTGGAGTTTTGCCCTCACATATATCAAAGAATACTAGCGACCGTTGGAGGACATTTATATCATTACAAGAACCTGGTGTGCCAAAAAAGGCATGTCATATTTACAAGTCCTGTGAAGCAACGACCTCTAAGATCACTGTTGCTGTTTTACTTCTACCTTGATAAATTCCTTTCCATGCACGTGGACAATTTTTCCACTCCCAGTGCATGCAATCACTGTTGTCCATCATACCAGAAAAACCACGAATATAACTTTCACGGAGGAGTCATTCAATATCCGTAGTATATATTCGCCCTCCTCAAGTACTCCGATCCAAATTCAAAGACGACCCCTTCAACAAAGTGAGCGAGATATTCCCTTGCGGTACTTGACGCGATTTTAAGATATTCGTCAATTGCATCGACTGATGTACCGTATGTTAACATCCGAATTGGTGCAGTGCATTTTTGAAGCGGGGATGCACCATCCAGCCTTTGTTGAAAGTAAACATTACTTTCCCTTAGTTTATTAACAATCATAGGCGGATCCGGGGGGGCCTACCCGGGCCTTGCCCCCCCCCCCCCCATGCCCAGATTTTGATATTATATAAATAAAAAAAACCTTGTACTAATACACAAGTTTTATAGTAGGTTTAGTTGGTTAGTTACTTGTTGCATAGATTTGGAAGGTTAAGGGTTCAATTCCCCTTGTTTGCACTTTTTTTTTTCTTCGTGTGGGCTTCTTAAACTCATATCCTTTTATGGCTTTATTGGTTGAAATGCTTTATAACTTTGGCCCGGTCTATAAAAAGTTTCTGGATCTGCCCTTGTTAACAATCACTAGTAGAGAAATGCTCATTTGCGCGCCTTATTTGCGTCGCTTGTAGAAACAAACGAAGCAAATGATATAATTTAAGTTCAGTTTACGTTATTTGCGTCGCTTATTTATTAAAAGTGTGACGCAGAACACTGATATTGGTTATTTGCGTCGCTTTTTAATAAATAAGCGACGCAAATAATTAAGTCATTTGCATCTCTCTTTTAGTAACAAGTGACGCAAATGATTTTGTGAATTATTTGCGCGTCACTTGTTACTAAAAGTGAGACGCAAATAACTATTCCAAAACTGAAAAAAAATAAAAAACCTTTCTAACTTTTCTTCTTTTCGCTAGAATTTATCATCAACGTTCCCCAAAACTTTTCTTCATTCGTTCCCAAAACTTTTCTTCATTCGTTCTTCTCAGCAACAATTCTTTCCCAGCAACAATTCGTTCCCAGCAACTGAATTCGAGCAAAAATTCGAAGGTAATTAAGCTACCTCCTTATTCGTTCCCAGCAGCAGCATAAGACGAATTTTCGAGCAACAAATTCGAGCAACAAACGCACAGGTAACGAACCCTAAACTAGTGCAGCGAATTCGAACCCTAATTTTCGAGCAACATGTATTGATTTTGTTGGTTAATGTATGTAAATTTATGCAGCAAATTCGAAGGTTTAATTTGAACCCTAATTTAGAGCATAAACGAGCAAATATGAAGGTTTATTTTGAGGTATTCTTTTTTCTTGGTTTTTTTTTTCCGTTTTTAATTGATTGTTATTTTTGTTTTGTTCAATTTGCTTCAGAATTTAGGTTTTTTTGGGGCCAAATCTAGTTAATTAGTCTGGGATTGGGGAGAATTGAATTGGGTATTGTTTTTGAATTTTAAGTGAATTAGGAAGTTGCTGGTTTAGAATTTTGATTTGGGTTAGTTTGAATTGAAACCCTTTTCATTGTTGCCATTCACCGGCGGTTTGATTTGAGTTATAAGTTTGCGATTATTTCATTGTTTTTGTTTCTTATGCTTTCTCTGTTAACCTTATTGTATCCATTAGCTTGATATTGCTACATGCTAACACTGAGGTTTTACTTGATATGTAGTGCTAGGACTGTGCCTCCCAATTCATTCATAGTGCTTGAGCAAAAACTGTAGTGTGAAATGGAATTCAGAGAGTTCCCCCTTGTAAATTGAATTATCTGTTGCCATGAGGGTCGGAGGAACTTACTTTTTGATGAATTATTGGTCATAGTTTGATTAGAGAACTAAATCCGACATATATGTGAGTAAGTCACAAATAGCGTATACATTGTCATAGTACGAAGTATACTGAATGATGGGCATACAACTTTAAATTCTAATTACGAAGCGGTGTGTCGAAGAAGAACAGAGAATAATGTGATTCTGTTTAGTGGGGGGAGAGGGGGGGGACTCTTTATTCGTTTCTTATACTGGTTTGCTTGGCCTTGATTATATGATACAAAGGGATGGTTTAGGTTCTTTCTTTATTGGTCATAGTTTGTGATAAATCTGCATGATTGAATGCTTAAAGGCATTAAGGAAACTTCCTTAACCATTGACACATGACGATAGACCTGAAGCCGAGTATGTATTAGCTTAAAAATCAATTTTACTGTCAATAGAGCAAAAAGATGAGGAAAAGATTTGGATACATAAGCAAAAACGAAGCTCTATATAAGGAAGTGGAGCAACTTAAGCACAAACTCGTAGAAATTGAGAAGCTAGCAAAGGGACAAGGTATAGCTGGTATGTTCAACTTCAGATTTTTTGGACAGTCAGGAACTGAAAAGTCAGCACAAGGTGCTTGAACTGACTGATAATTCATCTCTAGACTAAATTCACTAGCAACCTTAATTTTTTTATTTTTAGCTTTGTATAGTTTTTACTTTTGGGTGATATGTGCCTGATGCTTTGTCCAGGATACTTGCTAGCCTGATCAACAAGAAAAGCAGCTGTTGATTGCTCAATTGCCTTTCCATTTGGAGGAGGAAAGTTTTGGTTACCCAGACCATCCGCCCCGTGAATAGTTCTGTGCTTCAGGAAGACGAGTTTCATCGGCTAGCGGATTCCACCATACATCATCTGCTCGAGAAACTCGGGGTAATTATTAATGCTGCCATTGATAGGATGCTTTGTCCATGTTTTATTTGCTATATATTCAAGCAAGTGAAATTAAAATAGAATTCACAATGCTTTTGGCTTTTGGGATAAGTGATTTGGAGAGATTGATAGATATATATATTTTTTTGATAGGTATGTTGCCTTACCTCTTAATTAGTGAAGAGGTATTTCCAATTGATGTTCAAAAAGTTTGGGTGTTATAATTATTGAATTTGACCACTGTTTTTCATAGATATATTATATACCCTCTTGTTAATTTTTCCTGGTATAAAGTTATTCATTAACAATAGTATATAACTAAAAATATATTCAAGTGAGTTCTTGTTAATTTTGTCTAGTTTGAGGCGATAGTACACATACGACATTGTCTTCACTTGTGGTATATACTCTAACCATTTTATTATGTAGTTTTAACTTACTTTTTGTGGTTGGAATAATGATTGTAAATTGTAGTGGATTTCTAATTGTGATATAATTGATTGAAATTTTAATAATGTTTGCATCATTGGCTTAGATACCCGTTCAGGGCTTACTCATTAGGAGTAAGTTCTGAATAGTCCCCGGTTTGGGAATGTTCTTGAATGTTCTATCTCATTTAGGTTGTAACTACTTGAAGTGTTTTTGGATCTAAGAAACTTATGTGCCCTCGAAATAATGCAATATCATCATAATAGTGAGGACCTTATTACGGTATGAGGTGTCAAATATTTCATTTTAACTTAATAAATACAATTTGAAGTACTTACACTTGGATTAAACTTTTGATCTTTTGTTTGTGTTGTGCTATTAGGATTTTTCAAGATCTACACCGTACACAAATGAGGAGATAAACGAGGTTCGAGATATTTGGGCAGTCTATTTTGTATGCAATGTTGAACTTTAGATCTACACTTACAAAACTCCATTTACTTGTTAGACTCTTGTTCTATTTGTTAAGATTGACATGAATGTATGTATTTTGTTTACCAACAATTTGGGTTGGTGTTGGTGATTGTGTTGAATGATGACTATAATGTCAATGTAATTGAGTTGTAAATTTATTGGATAGGTTTTTGATATGATGCCGTCATTCCCAATTTTATGGGTAGGCCAAATTATAAAGGAAACTCTACCAAAATTTATATTTGAATTCTTTATTATTGCTTCTTACTTTTTATTTTGTATTATATATATGTTTATATATCATTTGCATCGCTGATCATTAAACAAACAAGCAACGCAAATAATTCGCTTTTTGAATTGTCAAACAAGATTCATTTGCGTCACAATATTGTAAAAAAGCGATGCAAATAACTAGAATTCGCTTCACCATTTAACGCAAATAACAATCATTTGCGTCGCACTTTTATAAATGTGTGAAGTAAATAAGACTTATTTGCGTCACACTTTTATAAAAGTGCGACGCAAATAAGAGTTATTTGGAAGCAAATAAGAGTTATTTGCGTCGCACCAATGTGCGACGCAAATGACTTAAAAGTCATTTGCGTCGCGAACACTTGCTTCGCACCTAGATACGACGCAAATACACTCTAAAAGTGCGACGCAAATGACCATTTCTCTACTAGTGAATGCGTGTGAACACATTCTTACGCATAAAACTGTCGACGGAACATATCGTCTGTGTACAATGGTTGGGGACTAAAGTACGTAGTCGTTATATAACTGTGTAATCAGCATATTCTCGATCTCTTGGTACATACCACATTTGGTACATAAGTTTAGGAGTGAAGAGGGCCCAGTGAGTAGAGGTTAAAAGGGGAACAACAGCTGTATTGATCGCTTCCTCGATCAATTCTTCTTCTTTTTGCCTTTGGGTTATTGATTCATGCCACTCTATATAATCATTCACCATGTAATCAAATAACCAGGAACTAGATGAATTTGAATCAGAGTTCATTTTGTACTCCCTCCGCCCACAATTATCTGCAACAAATCCCTTAATTGAGAACTCCTAGGCAAAACTTTTAGTGGAGTGTAATTAAGTTTGAGTGGGTTTCATTAATTGGAAAAAGGAGGGAAAGGAGTGGTCCCCATTTTTTTTGTTTGCTGGAAATCAGAGCCAAAAAAGAGGGAATGTACTTTTCCCTCTTATTTTTTGGGGGAAACTTTTGAAATTTCACATTTTCACCAAAAGTTTGAATAGCATTCATTGTTCACATTCATTACAAACTAAGCCACCATGGGCATTAAATACAGACCAAAGTTTTTTCAAAAGAAACCCATTAATTACATCCATAATTAGTCAAAATACTAATTGCCCAATATGTAATTAGTCCTAAATTAAGGGCAGCATTAGGGTTCCGCTTCAAAAAACAACAGCAGCCAAAAAACTTCATCACCATCCTACAATTCTGCAAAAAAAAAAAAAAAAAAAAAAAAAATAATAATACAAAGGACACCACAAACATGGAAGATTTCTTCGATCAAGAATTTTTTGGTATTGAACAACTACTAAATGAATAACCAGAACAGTACAGCAATGATGATGAGAGGATGGATGATGATGAGTCAGACAACAATGAAGGGGAAGAAGAAGCAGTACCACATGTGACAAGCAAGAAGCTGTTCACTATGCATCAAAAACGCCAAGTGGTTGATGACATACTTGTAAACATGCATGGTGGAGAATTAAAAAGAGGGTTTTTGTCACAAATGACAGTCAAATATGGCATTCACATAAGCACATCATTAATGTTATTGAAGAACGTTAAGCAATAGATGGCACAAGGGAATGTCATTGATGTCAGGAGCAAAAAACTTGGGAAAATTGGTCCTAAGCCACAAGAGAGATGAGTGGTTGCAATCAGTACCATTATACAAAAGGACAACAGAAAGGAGTTATGCAGCTGCTCTGAAAGTGTCACATGGATTCCTCCATAACTTGAAGAAAAAGGGCAGATTAAGAACACATACAAGCACCAACCATCCATCACTCACATCAAATCACAAATTGGCTAGATTGAAGTGGGCATTAGGGCATATTCACCCTATTCCACCAGTTGGGGATCTAACTTTCATGGACATGCAACAGGTTATACACATAGATGAAAAATGGTTCTATATGAACCCTGAAACAAGGAGGTTCTACCTCCTACTAAAAGAAGAAAATCCCTACAGATTTCAACAGTCCAAGAGATACAAAATTAAAGCTATGTTTATGTGGATGATTGGTAAGCCACTATATGATATCAATGGAAATATGTTGCATGATGGTAAGTATGGTATTTTTCCATTTACTTACCAGCAAAGGGCTAAGAAGAAAAGCAAGAACAGAGATGTAGGTGTCCTTGAGACAAAGGCAGTTCAGAGTGTGACCAAAGAAAAAATCAGGAAAATGGTAATGGACAACATCATTCCAGCAATTCACAGGCAATGGCATCCTAGTCTTGCTAAAGACATATTCATCTAATGGGATAATGCAAAGCCACATCAAATTCCCAGGGATGAGGAATTCATTGCAGCATGTATTGCTAATGGAAACATCCAAATGGTGTTTCAACCAGTTCAATCTTCAGATCTTAATGTCCTAGATCTTGGGTTGTTTAAGGTCATTCAGTCTTTGCAATACCAGTCCTTTCTCACTACAATAGATGAACTAATTGAGAAAGTATATGAAGCATATGAGTGGTTTAATCTAATAGTGAACAAGTACACATGGATCACTTTGCAATCAGTGATGAAAAAGATTTTAGAGAAGGAAGGAGGCAATAACTTTAATCCACCTCATATGGCAAGAAAAGGTTGGACCACCTAGGTCTGCTACCTGAGTTGTTGGAGGTTGAAAGAGGACTCATTCAAAAGGCAGTTAACCATCTCAACACACTTTTTATTCCAACAGATCAAATCAATGCAGAATACAGTCAAATGGAGGTGGATGCAGACTAGCTACAACTGAAGATCAGCAGTAGATCCCAACATGACTTCCACACATAACCAAACAAGGACTCTAACAGGTTTTTGTCTTAAGTAAGCTTTTGTTTTTTGTTAATACTTATTAAGATTTGGTTATGTGTATTTTCGTAGATAAACATCTTCATTTTAAGGCAGTCATGTAATGAATGATTAGGCACAGGGACTCTAAACATGTATCTTTTGGTTTTGTAATGGATGAATATGGAATAGTGGCTTCAAAATGAATTCCATCAGGGAGTTTACTTTAATTTCAGTGGAATGTTGTAGGATGTTACCTCAACAAGTTCAAAAGAAACTTGTTGGAGCAAAACTAATCTACACATCCAACTCAAAGTGAGTCCCTTCATCATTTGGAATTTTTACACACACACATAACCCTTTATTAGGGACTCATACACATTATGCACATGAACTGACTTGCAACCATCTACTAGGAAACATCCAAATGGGATTGTATAGGCTACTTGCCATAGCTCATCATTCATCAATCATGCATTCCCTTGGTCAACAACTCAAATGAGTAACAACAGGCATAAACATAATCTAACACAGTCCAACAGGCTACATAAACAACCATCCAACTGTAGGCAACATCCATTACACCACCTTCCACTGACTCGCATAAACACATTGGACATGCTTTTCAACAATCATAAACACCAAAAATCACATAGTACTAGGATAGCCAGCAGAAATTATTCAAAGTAACCAAATCAAAGTTAATTCAAAGTAAACTAGTAGGGTTTAGTAATAGTTACGCTGCAAGATTAGTTCGTAGAAGGGAAATCATCAGGGTATTTGTCCCTTAGATAGGAAAGGTAAGTAGGATCCCAATCGCTATAGTCATTAGTAAAAACAGATCTGACGCTTTTCTTCCTACCAGAGGACTCAGCGGTGGCGACAGGCTTAAGGGACTCAGGAAAAGCTTCATTGAGCACCTCAAGGGAGTCAGGAGCCTTCACTAGTGCAACGGCCGCCTCAGGACCACCTTGCTCCACCAGATCTGACACCCCAGAAGGCTCTTCCTTCCCAACAACCACTTTAGAAGGGCCCTCCTTCACAACAACCGCAACAACATCCATCACACCACCTTTCACCAACAGATCTGGACCCACTGTAAGATGAAAAGCCTCAATCTTCACTGGATCTACGCTCAAACCCTTCTCCTCTTCTTCATCACTCGAAGTGTACTCAGCGAATTTGGCCCCAATTTTTCCATGCGTGAACCTTGAAAACGAAGCAGAGCACCGACGAACTAGTTTCATATAATTCCAGTTCCTCACTGCGCCATGTAGCGTGTAAACGGTGGGTCAGTCTTTCTTTCACTGCTCTAGCCTTGAAGGGACTCATTTGGATATGGGTTGGAACTTATTGTTTCTGGAAGAGAAGAAGAAATTGAACTCAGGGTTAGCACTTGACAGAGAAAATGAGAGGGAGAAGAACGTAGGAAGAGGAGAGAAAAGAGGGAAAACCAAAGAAATTATAGGGTTTGTTTTGAAGTTCTGGAGAATTCTCCAGTTCATAAGCAAATTGGGCAGCATATTCGAGTGAAATTCAATGCAATGAATTGAATGAGGTAGTTGAGGAGATGAGTGATTTTTGATGAAAGAGGGGTGGAGGGGGTTAAATTTTGGTGGGAAGGATTAAAGTTACTGGATTGATTAGTTGGTAAGTAAGTGTGATTATAAAATGTTAAACAAAGTTAAAAAAATAATAAAGTAAGGGTAAGGTGGTCATTTTACTTTTTAAAATTTACTAAATATGGAAAAAAAATTTGTTGCACATAATAGAGAGCATCCATAGTATATGTTGCAGATAATTGTGGGCAGAGGGAGTAATATTTTTTGGTTGAGAGGATGAAAGTGTTTTGTTGCAGAAATGATACTTATATTTATGTGTTAAACAACCCCTTTATATATAACTTTTAAATAATTCAAAACAAATAACTAGTGTTGTGGTATATGGGCACACAAGTATAAGAGATATGATTTTCGATAAGGTTTACAGATTTTCTACATTGGTAATTCAATGAATGGACAAACAACTACAAAAGATTACATTTCTGATAAGGTTTGTAGATTTCTTTTGTATGACAATTCAATGTATGGGTACACATATCAATAAAAGATGAGATTTTCTGATGATGCTTATAGATTTTCTGTCGACACATGTGACATTTCAATGTAGCATTGCCGGTCGGTCATATTTTACAAATTTTCAAAAGTTACTACAGAACATTTCTCATTATGGAGTTGATATTAATAATATAATTATTTGCAAGAATTAATTTATGAAGTTAATGAAAATAGAGAATTTATAATAAAAACTTCAACTTCATTCATTGCATTAAGAAAGAATAACACAATATTACAAAGGAAATTTAAAACAATAAAAGTAACATTACATCAATTAAAACTAGCATAATACATGGAGTTTAACTAACTTAATTGATATTTAAACTAGCCTAAAAGATGTGCAAATTCTTGCTTTAATTTTGGGGAATTTGTTGCAAATTTGGGTTTGAAAATTGATTTGGGAATTGTTGAGTGAAATCTATACTATATATTAAAAGGCGTTCCTAAAAAAGTTTAGGTGCCACATGGCACTTTCCTCGATCAATCAAGTCTTCATTCACGTGCTTAAAAATATGGCTTGTACAAGATTTGAACCCACGACCTAAAGTTTTATAAGTATAGTGTTAGCCACTAAGCTATTGCTATATTATTTGTCATTCTATTAATATTAAGTATAAATAAGGATTTCAATTATGGAATTAATGCAGTAACTTGGGGCATCGCTCGGGCCTAAAAACTAGTTTTGGTTTAAAAATTGATTTGGGAATTGTTGTACAAATTGTTGGTTTGGATGCATTGGTTGGTTAGGAATGTTATAAGATAACATCCTTGAGCATTTGGATTAGTAAGGCTACTTGGATCAAAATGAAAATTACTTTGGAAATTTGGAGGATTAGAAGATCGGTAGTTTGGATTATTTTGAGATGAACCACTTGCATAATTAGGATTATTAAGATCCATAATCACAAAATATTTTTGCAATGCAAAAAAGAAGGGTAAATTTTAAGGGTGAAAACTATATCAATATTAGGCTCTATTTATAGATAAAATTATAAGTATGTCGTTGGTGCAATTATTTTTTGAAAAAAGTTTAAATACATTGTATATTTTACCGTTACGAAAATTATCGTTGTAAAAAAAAAAAAAAAAAAAAAAAAAAAAGGAGAGAGAGAGTATTGTGAGTTAATACTAACCCCCCATTGCTCATGCTCTACCTACTCCTCGGTTGTATTGTGGTACTCAAGTGCATCTTAGCACATAGCGCCTATATTTTTTGTTTTTTTGCAAATAGGGGGTAAAATAATCATTTGACATCCAAAATGATACTTTTTTATGGTTACAGTGGTACTTTTTTGTGTACTATTATATATGCATGTTTATTGTATCATTATATCTTAGTAATACTATTATACCACACAGTGGTACAATATTTTGATGTATTATTTACATACTTATTTGTACTATTAGCAAAATATTTACACAAAGTATTGGGTGCGGCAAGCCGCACCAAAGAATTCGTGCGGCAACAAACTGTACGTATCCTCCAACAAATAATATATATCATCCAACAAACTTTACGTATCCTCTATCAAATATCACATATTTTCCAACAAGTTGTACATATCCTACCTCTATCAAATAATACATATCCTCCTCCAAATACTACATATTCTTTAACAAACTGTACGTATCCTCTATCAAATAACACATATCCGTCGCCAAATACTACGTACATATCCTCTAACAAATTGTACGTATCCTATGTCAAAGATAAAATTATACATATCCTCTATCAAATATTACATATCCTCTCACAAACTGTAAATATCCTCCAACAAATAATATATATCATAACACATATCCTCCACCAAATACTACGTACATATCCTCTAAGAAACAATACGTATCCTCTATCAAAGATAAATTGCACATATCCTCTATTAAATACTACATATCTTCTAACAAACTGTAAATATCCTCCACCAAATACTACATATCCTCTAACAAATTGTACATATCATCTGTCAAATAACACATATCCTCCACCAAATACTACATCATATAACAAATTGTACGTATCCTCTATCAAAGATAAATTGTACCTATTCTCTATCAAATACTACATATCCTCTAACAAACTATACATATTCTCTAACAAATAATATATATATCCTTTGACAAACTATACGTATCCTCTATTAAATAATACATATCCTCCAACAAGTTGTACATATCCTCCACCAAAATACTAAATATCATATATACTTTCCGCGCAAATTCTTTGGTGCGGCTTGCCAAATACATATAGGCGCTATGTGCCAATAGTTTTTCGTGGTACTCCATATAACTTACATAAACACGTCGATTGTCTATGGTACGTAGGAGAGCCTCATACTTAAGAGGTACAAAAATATTAAATGTGTATAGACATTGTCACAAGACTTTTACATCAAAAGTACATGTAAATTGCTCATTATTATCATATTTTACCTTTTAAAACAATCTGCACGGATCGTTAATTGAATAACACCACCTCATTGCTATTATATTATTTGGCTTTTTCTTTTTCTTTTTTTTTTTTTTTTTGAATTTTCTAAATTATTTATCTGACTATTAATTCCTATTTGCAATAAAAAAAAAATAAAGATTAATTACTCATAGTATTAATTATGAATACAAGATCGAACAACGTAATACAAAGTACAAATCATCAATTCTAAGGCCTTGTTAGGTTGAAATGGGAAATAACTTTTCTTGGTAATTTACAATTCATGGGAAGTTATTTCACTCATAAAATTTCTAGGAAATTATTTTAATTTGTTTGATAAACATTAGAGAAATCATAATTCATGGGAATTTTAAATGACCTTAGAGACTATGTTCTCATAACATAAACATTACACACAAAGTAGATAAGCTCCGGTCCCCCTATGAGGTATGAGCTGAGGCTATAACTCATTATTTAATAATAATAATAATAATAATAATAATGCATCAAGTTAAGCTATAATAAGATTTGTAACCCACCAATGACCATAAATTACGACTAAACAATTCATTAAGAAAACAAAAAAAAGCATATATTAAACATGCTTTATAATGCATTTATGCTTCATGTGGACGAGGCATGATTGACATAATATTACTAGTCTATTTGGGACACTTAGTAGGCTACATATATACTAAATATATATGTAGCTTTTGATAAAATTGAGTCAATCATCTAGTATGAACATGTTTCGAGCTGGAAGAAGCAAGAAGGGCTAGCTTGAGGACCAAAGCAAACATTCACCACTTGGACTTAGCCTCTGTGTGTGTGTACTGTTTTTAACAAATGGGAGATGAAGGTTCATCCTTGCATAGGAAGGGAAACACAAGCGAACGGGATATTAGGAAGTGTTTGTTTGAGTGAACACGGACAGGAGATGCATAGTTCAGCACAAAGGAAGTGTTGGTTATGCAAAATGTTTTTTCTATTCTTACAATGCTATTTGCTCTAATTGAAGATCTTCTTCATCATCTATAGAAATTTGACAAAGATAATTTCTGTTTTGAATTGCACAGATGACATTTAACTTGTGGCATGTGATCACTACTTGGGCAATCTAGAATATACTGGTGTAGGATAAGATTTGACCTTCACAGATTGCAGAAAAAATATCATTTTTTCCCTGCTCTTTTCCATTTCATTGCAATTTGTTACAGAGTTAAGGTGTTTGACATGAAGTACACCAATATTAAGAGCTAGTAGTATAATACAAAGTATGTCATAAGATGAGAATTAAGTAAAAAAATGTTAAGAAAATGGAAAATACTCAGTGCTATTAAATGGTCTTTTCTTATTGATTTACAAGATAAGCTAGGACTTTAATCAGCTTAAAGAGCAGAGCAGTATTTTTCAGAATAATACTCGTGTGGTAAAAGGTAGTCCTCCAATCGCAACTAGCTGTGTGTTATAACAGTTGTTTCATTCCTTTCCACTTTTGTTCCATGCTTTAAAAATGTTTAGCCTTTGTTTACCATGATTTGATCTAGGAATTGAAGCATGCGCTTAAGGTAGACTGGATGATTTTGGAAAGTTGAAGTAGATAATTGACCAAACATCATTGCAGGTCCTTATCGCTTAAAGGGATCCCTTTCAAAGTTCAAATGATGCACACTTATGTCTGACCACCTTCAGCAATGTAGGCTCAGAGTTTATTTTTCATCTTTTATCAATGTTTATGTTATGTTCATTCCATACTATCTGGCTATCTACTATTGTTTTTGCAGTCATATCTGATAATGATGAGTGTTTCAGAAATACTCTATTATGATATAATGCATTTTTTATAGTAATGCCTTCAGCATATTATGTTGATTCCTACTACTTGTTATTAATGCAGTACGTTATGCCGTTCTTGGTACATGAAGGTTTTGCATTGTGCTTGAAAAATTCCTTTGGATCATTTTATAGGAAAGTGCATTTTTTTCCCACGCACAAGAACACGACTTCTTGAATGCAGCAGCAAAGTGTCACTTGAGTTGTAATGTAAATATATCACTCGAATACTTGGTATTGTACTATTGTTCAGCATTTAGGAGACTGTTGCTTCAGCTATTTCTTTTCCCTGCTTGGATGAGAAAAACGTATGTCCCTGCCATTTAATTCTGAATTTTTGTCTTGCCCTTATCTTTGATGCATCCGTAGTGTCAAAATACGCCTGCTAGTATTTGGCTGAGGAAAATGCCTTGTGCTCATTCATTAGCTGACTGACTTAAGCTTAACTATGTAATCAAGTGGTGTCTGGAGATATCTAGCATCAGATATCTTTAGTATAAAATGCCAGTGACACTTTCGGATGAATGCCTTCAATCTCAATTTATGCCTACAAAGGTATTAGCAGCTGACTGTTCCAAGAAGACTCCATATATTACTCAATTCTCATAATAGCACCTTCACTTGCTCCTTTCTGCAAGGCTTTGTTTCACTTTGGATTCAAATAAATTAAGTAGACATCAAGCCAATACAAGACCAAGTCTGGTAAAACATACTCTATGCCATGAGTGTCGATAGTGTATCATAACTTATCATCTTCGATCTCATAAAACAATGTTCCGTGTCAACTTATCTTATACTCCGTACAAATTGGCTGAGCCTGAGACCACAAGTCCACAAATGACATGATATACTCGATCATATTTCCCATGACTGCAGGCTTATCTTATTACAAAGTTCCGTGTCAACTTATCTTACGGAGTATCATATTACTATATGCATGACTGCAGGCTCAACCCAAGCAGGCTTTATACTTGGTAATTTGGTATTATGATATCAACAACTCCAAAGCCTGAAACTTCAAACTAAACAACATCCCGCCAATTTCCCGCTTAAAACTAAAGCTTGCTTATAGATCAATTTTTTCCCAGAAAACTTCCAAATTCCCATGCCATTTTCAAGATGCTCAAATCTGCACTCTCATTTTCTCTCTCCAAAACCCGAACTCGAAAGTCTCACTCCCTCACTCCATCAACTAAATTTCCCGCCAAATACCAACCAACGAATTTTACAACATTCTCTCAGCTGCTAAAGCAACGCCCTTCTCTTCCACATCTGAAGCAAATTCACGCCCAAATTTTTACTCAATCTCTCTCCTCTAATCCCCACTCAATTTCGTCCTTAATCCACTCTTATCTCTCTTCTAATCGTCTAAATTCTGCAATTTATTTGTTTGATAATTACCCTTCTTCCCCAATTCCTACTTTGTTATGGAATTTGATGATAAGGGCTCATTCCAAAATTCGAAATTGTGTAGAACCCATCAAGTATTTGGGTCGAATGTTGTCGAATTCGAATGACGAATTATCTAGGGTTTTACCTGATGATTATACATTTACGTTTGTAATTACGTCGTGTTCGCATTATGATTCTTCTTTGTATGGAGAAATAGTTCATGGGATGATAATAAAATCTGGGTTTGGGTCAGATTTGTTTGTTGGTAACTCATTGATTAACTTGTACTCTGTTTTTGCTAAAGTGGGTGATGCCCGTAAGGTGTTTGATGAAATGTCTGAGAGGGATGTTTTCTCATGGACTAGCCTCCTAGGTGGGTATGCCAAACATGGGGATATTGATAAAGCTTGTGACATTTTTCGTGCGATGCCTGTTCGTAGTGATGTGTCGTGGGTAGTTATGATTTCGGGTCTTGTTAGTAATGAGAGGTACATTGATGCCCTGGATTATTTTCGCGGTATGTTAAATGACAGTAAGAAGGTGAAGCCTGATGAAGCTGCCCTTGTTTGTGCTTTATCGGCTTGTGCTAATTTGGGGGCTTTTGATCAAGGAAATTGGATTCATGTTTATATGGAGAGAAACAATATTCTAGAGACTCCAAATATATGCACAGCTCTTATTGATATGTATGCCAAGTGTGGGAGGATAGATTGTGCAATTCGAGTTTTTAACAGAATTTCAAAACGAGATGTTCATAATTTCACAAGCATGATATCTGGTTTGTCAATTCATGGTCTTGGAAAGGATGCTATGAGGGTGTTCTCGGACATGTTGGCTGAGGGTATTAGACCGAATGAAATTACCATGCTCGGAGTTTTGAATGGTTGTAGCCATTCAGGGCTAGTAGAAGAGAGCACCTCTATTTTCAATGACATGGAAACTTTATGTGGGATTGTTCCAAAGATTGAACACTATGGATGCTATGTCGATTGTCTAGCTCGTGCTGGCCATTTGGAGAGAGCATTCGATGTAGTTAAAACGATGCCTATAGAACCTGATGCTGCTATATGGAGGGCTTTGCTTAGTGGATGCAGAACTCATCGCGACATTGTTCTAGGGGAGCAGATTTTGAATCATGTTCGACAACTTGGTTCAAGTGGCCAAGTTTTGCTGTCAAGTTTGTATGCCTATATGGGTAAATGGGAGAGTGTTGTTTCAATGAGGAAGCAAATGGGTGGAAGAAGGAATACATCAGAGCTTGGTTGCAGTTGGATCGAGGTGGATGGTATTACTCATGAGTTTCGTGTGGATGATCAACTACATCCTCGAATTTTAGAGATTCGAGGAAAGCTTGATGAAATTTTGGAGAAGGCAAAGTTGGGGGGATATGTTACTAATACAACCCCGGTCACATTTGATTTGAGTGAGGAGGATAAAGAGCGAGCAGTATCATTGCACAGCGAAAAGTTAGCTATTGCATTCGGATTCTTGAGTACTAAACCTGGGAGTTTGATCAGAATAGTGAAAAACCTCAGGACTTGTGAGGACTGCCACTTAGCTTTGAAGGCAATTTCTCTTATTTTTGACCGAGAAATAATTGTCCGAGACCGGTCACGTTTCCACGCCTTCAAACATGGGAAGTGCTCTTGCAATGACTATTGGTAGTCATTAGTCAATGCATAAGCTAAATCGCGGACATAGAAAACAAAGCAGGCGCGAATGATATCATTGCATATCTAGAAGTTCATACCTTTAAAAGCATTACAAAGTGGCATACTCATTACAAACAAAGCCTTTTCGGCGAAACGAGGACCAATATGTTTTACAATTGAGAAGATGAAATTCAAGCTAATTGGAGCTGGTTTGACCCATTTGAAGGCATGAACACCATCGAGCCACGCCCATCATCAGGTAAAAGCAAAGATTCCTAACTATGATTGCATGTGCATGGTCATCAACTTCATATCATGCTTGGTACCATCAATGATTGCAATTTTAGTCAGCTGATAATTATTTATATTATATGCTCTTCTAATAACATATTCCTAAGTATAGGGACAAATTTTTAATGATACAAAGATATGGTATGTAATGGAATAAGATTAAATGGCCCACATTTAGGATTTTTGTTTATTTCTGTGGGCTCTAAAAGCATCAACCATTATGCACCTAATTGTTCATGCTTACAAAGTGTTTAAATGAGCTGGTTGTGGTTGTCCTTTCTAAAGCTTCATAAAAGTGAGCTATTTTTGTTAACCCACAGCAGAAAGCGAAAGTAAAGCTCTGCTTTTGTTGCCTTAGATGCCCTGGAATACTGAAAGCAAGAGTGAAGTAACGACTTGAACGTTATGAGTTCGGTTTTGATGGCTGTTCGAATGTCAAAAATGCACATGCATGATGATTGCATATATTCTTGATTTAGAATCTCTTATACTACTATATAATGGATTTTCTTCCCACTGTAAGATCTTCCCTTTAGTAAGCCTAGCACAAGTTGTTTGATGTGGATTTAGTGCAAATTCTATTTTTGAAACCCGAAGTTGCATCTAGTGTATATAAGACTTATGTGAGAAATGGAATGTTGGGAATGAATGATTATTCTTATATGAATATATGATTCCCCCTCCAGAAATGTATACATGAATAGATATTACAGTTGCTACTTGTTTGGAGAATTATAAGTTAACCAATTTAGTTTGTTTGGAACATAGATCTATTAACTGATAACTAGCCCAATTGAATATATTTGGTATTAAGGCTCCTCATTTCTTGTGCTGAGGATTTTATTAGTACTGCCTCTACTCAACAATTAGTCATTAAAACAGTGTACTCAGTAGTTTGAACCAACAAGGTGACAACTTAATCCAAATGGAGGTAGTATAATGATTTGTTTTAATTTCTATATTCTTCTTCCTATGCAAGTATAGCCTTAAGGTTGTATAGTTCGAATGAGGCGTGATAAGTTCCAATTAGAACTACCATATTTATTTCACAATTAGATATAATTATAGGCGTTTATAGTTGTTCAAACAAGCTCATGTAACATTTAGACTCTACAAAATCTCGATTCAAGTAAACTAAGGTGAAAAGAGCAAAACCTTAATGAAGCAACATTAGCAAGTTGCAAATACTTAAATAAAGCCCTTGATCTTATTCTTTGTTGAGGTAGATCACTGATAATTAAGCTTTCTGACAGCAATTTTTGTACTTGAAAACTCCTAGTGGAATTAAACTACCTTGTTTTAAGTTTATGACACGAATTATGTATTGCTTAAAGCACACATTTTCTGAAATTTCTGATTGTGGGTTCAAAATTTTGGAAACTGTTTATTCATGTTGCATGCCAAACTCAATAATAATCAATAAAGTATGAAAAACTGAAAAAATGCTTATTGCAACCAATTATTAAGGTCTGTAACCGAATTATTCTCCCTTTATTTCTTTTTTTTTTTGGGGGGATGCCTTGATTTTTATTTTCTTTGCTTCTGTCTCACTTTTAGATGGTCCATGCTTTACGCACACCCATTTAGCTGTTTTTATGTTTGAAGTTGTGGAGCATAATTTGTGTGAGGAAAAGGACTTATGCATCCTTTTACCATTTACCATCACTCTTTTTATGACATCATTTTTAGTTTAGAGCAAAAAAAACAATAATAATAACAACTAAATTAAGTAATTATCCTCCATAATTGTTGAAAAATTGTCATGGGAATAAAAATAAAGCCTAATTATGAGAAACAAGGATCACTTTGATACAACAATGTCATTTGCATTTTCCTCTGTTAAATATGTACAGGTTCTGCATGACCCGGATCATCATCTTCAAGACCCGGATTTGTTCTTCACTAATCTCCCAAATCCAAACCTCCTAAAGTTTCGATTTTTCGAGTTTTCGAGATTTTATGGGATGATGGATGCTCAATCCTTATCCTCTGCTTCTCTCCTAGATGAAATGTGATTTTATTGATAAACCATTATCAGCTTGTAGCTTCAGATATGCTGTGCAGAGAGGGTTGCCAGTTTTTTGGTCTTACTGTTCCTCCATTTGAAGCTGATGTTGTTCTGGATCGGTTCACATGTCTACTACTAACCTGAAAAATCAAGTTTCATTTTACATAAGTAAACATTTCAATGGTGAAAAACTAATAAATTACATAGATCAATTCAATGAATTATATTGTCATCGTCCTAAATTCATTGTCCTGGTTTTCTTTCCTAATCAAAAAATTTAAAAACAGGGAAAACAGGGGTTATGGAATTATTGGATTTTGGCTAAAAAAAATTGAGGCCTAGATTAATTTAAGTTTAATTTTTATTCTAAAGTTAAAAACAAGGAAGAACAAAGTCAACTGATGCATTCAGTTTTTTTTTTCTTTTTTTTTTTCTGGTGTTTATGAACAATTATTTTCCAATGAAAATTTGCTTTAAATTAATTGAAATAACATTTTGGAGGGATTAATTACCTGATTGGTTTTCTCTGGTTGAGATCTTTTAGCAAATTTCTCAGCTTCTTTGAGTCCTTCTGAGTCTGCTAATTCTATACCACTTTTCTTCAATTTTGCTTGTTTCTTTGCCACCAAACCCTTCATAACTTCTGCAAAACACCCAAAATATTAGCATGTATTCTTAATTCACCTTACTTCCTACACACTACTCTGACCCAAAAAAAAAAAAAAAAAAAAAAAAAAAAAATCGTATATATTGAAAGAAAAGGGTAGATAGAAAACTATCACAAACCTTGAGTGCTGATGAGCCTATAAACATGACCCAAAGCCAAAGTATCCGTCGGTCGAAGCAGCTTAACTCGAGTAATCCGCACCGTATTCCGCCCATCAACAGTTTCTGTGCTTGTGCTGCTATTCTTATTGTTGCTGCCTTTGCTGCTGCTGTTTTTTTGGCTGTTGTCGCCGCTGCTGCGGCTGTTGCTGTTATTTTTCTGGCTGTTGTTACCGTTGCTGCTGGTTTTCTGGTTGTTGGTGTTGCTGTTATTGGTGTGACAAATAGTGGTGGTGATAAGAAGAGCAACATAATGACCAGGGTTGAGTTTCATGATCTCACTTGCAGAAACAGACCAATACAGTTTATCAACCTTACCACTTGGGTGTTGGATTACTAGTGTTGCTGCATCTATGGCTTGGCAATTCCCCATGTTTTTCTCTCTCCTATTTCCTGCTTCAGAGAGTTTCAAAACACCAGAAACAAGGAAAGGCAGGGTATTTTTTTCAGCAGTTTTGTAAGTACCTACTTCTTCCTGTTTTTCTCTCTTTCCTCCCCCTCTTTATAGTCAGCACCCACCAAGAGTCTTTAGTAGTAATTCAGAAGTTAATGCATGCCCAGCTGTTTTTTTTACTAATTACAAGGCTTGCCCCATGTGTTTATAATAATATCACATCTCTCATGTGCGCCCGGTGCACACTATTTGTTTTTGCGTGTCACACCACTCCTATTTCTGTGTAAGTTTAGCGTTTTAAACTTGGTGTTTTAATACTTTGAGCTACCCTTATATTTTAAAAACCGTCATTTATATACATAATAGTACAACCTTTTTAGTCCCTAACAACATACTCCGTGAATGTGTAAATATGCACACTTTTGAATAAGTTAGCATTTTAAAGTTGGTGTTTTAAATTTTTAATGCTTTGAGCTATCTTTTCTGTAAATCGTTTCTAATACATGCGGTATTTCAATATAATTTAAAACAGGCACTAAAAATATTTAAGGGTAACTAATAGATAAAGAACAATATCTAATTATCTATTAATTAGGCTATGCTCTTTTAAAACTTTTAGTTTAATTCTGTTGGATTCAACATAACTCATTTCAATTTACGTTCAGGTGTTAAGCTCAAAAGAATATAGCCTTGTATATCCGATGCACACAAAAATAGATGTTTAATTTTCACTGTGCCTGAGTAAGTATGACAACATCATATACTAGTAGAATTTTTTTTCTCTAACTTTGAAGTTCTGATGTGGTAAATTTACAAGTTTGCCCCTGCTCCATGTGAGTGAGATCAATGAGCTGTAGAATATAAATTAGGACAGAAAGGAGATATCACTAGATCAGATCATCTGGAATGTTTATAATCAGACCTAAAGCTTACTATTTAGGGTAACTATTACTGGTAATTTTGTACTTAATTTAGTCTCATTAAATGGAAAGATTCTAGCCTGCTACTTAAGAAAAAATAAAATAAATAAATAAATAGCTGGGTAAAAAGCAAAACTTTGGGTCCGTTACTAGTGCCTAGTGGTGGTGGTAGTGATTGTCACGTGACTGGTATGCAGTAGTGATTGACATGCTATATCTTATCTTATTGGGTGAAATAAATTTTTACTGATTTTATAGAATTTTTTGTGGAACTTTTACATGCAAATCAAGAAAGTTCTGTTAGACACTAATTATTACTACTATTATTATTTATTTATTTTATTATTGTTAATTACTTATAGCATCACGTTGTTTAGTCTTGGTTTTCAAAAAAAAAAAAAAAAACGTTGTTTAGTCTTCTTTGGCTTCTTGGGTCTTCCTTGGCTCCTCTAGTCTTTAGGCTTAAAATGATTTTTGTATGGTTAGTCGGTTACCTTTCAGATGACCATGAATATCTCGTGGTGAGGTTACTTATGATGTTAACGTTAAAAATTGTGAGACTGTATCACTATTTTCAACCCCTAAAATATCATGGTCGTGTTAGAGATAACTATAAAAGAGTCATCGTCTTTTTTCCTTTCGGATTACAAGTGTTATCAATTTGGCTCTAGGATTACTATAGATTAATCTTGATTTGCATCGTGCCCATTGCTATGCATCAAAGGACTACCAGCTGTTATCAAGGGAAGGGTTAAGTGTTTTAAGTCAACTTGAAAATGTAATCTTGATGTTGAACCGATTTAATGAAAGCATAATTGACATAATCATCACTTGGTTTAAAATGTTACAAACATAAAACATATTTGGCCCTCTTTGTTTCAGCTTTAGGATAGATATAGGAGGATGTCAAACAAGCATAAAAAGATTGAGAAGTTGGAGAGGATCCTATGAAAGAACAAGTGACGTTTAAGAATGCTTTACTTAGGGGCGTTAGGGCACCTCATGAGTAGTTCGGTGTTTATTTGACTTCTACTATTTAGATTTTAAGCCAAGTCGGTTTATAAGCGCATAAAGAAAGATCTCAAAATAAATAATATTGCATTTGTACTTATGTCTCAAGCTCAAAAAAACAACTCT